ACCGGTGTAATGGATTTAAACGCCACTAAAGCTCTGTCATCCAGTGCTGTGGGGAGCACTTTGAGAGCCTCGTCCATGGGCCACCCTACTGAAAATTACGCTGCATCAAATCGGTCCTGGAAAGCCATCCTATCGCTGCCTGTCGCAATGAACGGGCGTACGGGAGGCAAGCGACGGAGTTTATGGCCGCCAGACGTAATTACGGGTGAGGGCGCACCCACGCCGCTGCAGGAGCCATAGCAACGCCGGGTTGCCGAGTCACATCGGTAATGGCAGCCGGTTGCGGAGTCGTGGAAAAAATGGTGCCCGGTTGCGGAGACACAGAGAAAATGGCACCCGGTTGCGGTGTCGCTGACAAAATGGTGCCTGAATGCTGCGTCGAATCCCGCGGAACAATGGCACCCAACTCCGGAGTCGTGTCCATTATAGAATTGGCACTAAATACGAACGAGGCAGGAGGCGCAATGGCGGGAATCCGCCGTTCCCGCGCTGAAAAAGTGTCGGGTGCACGCGGCTGGGCTCCCACCTCGACCATCATCGCGACGAGCTGCGCGGCGGACTGTAGAAGTTGTCTGAGCTGGCTCGTGAGGATATGCCAGGTGTTCGGCAGCGGTGAGGAGCCACCCACGGCTGCCTCCTTCTCCTGCTCCGGTTGGCCTGGCTCCACGGGGCGCATCTCCGGGGCCCCGGACTCCGGGGACGTTGCGGGAACATCCTCCATGCCGTCTTCATCGTCGAACCTCACCACAGGTAGGTACTTCCTCTTCACCGCCATTTAACATGGCGGCGAAGGCTGGAGACACTTCTGGCACCAGTTGTTGTGTGGTGCAGGACGACTTGTATACTGAACTCTTAGTAAGGGCTTGCGCCAGTTTATTGACACAGGGGTAACAAAACACACCAGAGGTAGGTGTCCCTACACTCGGTTATTCACGCGGACCTCAGGCTCTATTTATTCCTAGCCTGGGCTATCTCTTGGGCTCTCTCACTCGAGTCGGAATGGGGGCTCATCCAACACCCCACGTAATCTTAGCGGGCTCTTGCATACTTCTCTGAGCCCTACCCCTGGCTATATCTTCGGCTCTCCTGCTCGTAGAACCCGGACAGGGGATCAGTCAACACCGTCCGGTCACGAGCAGGAGAAACCTTGATTTGAAGCTTTCGTGACTGCAGGAATCCATACTCTTTGGTTCTTTCGGGAAAGTCACCTAGGTAGAAAAATAGATCACGACGTTTCGATCGCAACACAAGCAATCGTCATCAGGTGGGACAACCACAGCAAGAAAAAAATACTTTTTTTTTGCTATCGAAACGTCGTGATCTATTATTTTTCTACCTACGTGACTTTACCAAACCAAAGAGTAGGAGAGACCTTCTTCAGACGCTCACCATCCCGGGATACCACAACGACCCCTCTTTCGTCATGGGGTACCCCTAAAGTATATCCCGTTACATGACGTCATTGCTTCTCACAGCGCTCATGACGTCACGTCGTCATACTACTCTACACAGGCATTCCACACCTACACACACAAATGTCCAGGACTCCGGTTGAGTCTAAATTGCTTGTTTATTGACCAACAAAAGTGTTTTTTTTCTGTCAGGGTTCCCCCAAATCCCTTGTATTTGCACGGGTTGTGTTTAGTCGAGGACGACTTTTTCTTCAGAGGGGGGTAATCTAGTGTTGATACGTGATTCGAGGATAGAAATACTCACGCGATCCAAGGGTAGAGTCTCAGGATGATGTTACGAGGAAAGGGAGAGGTGACATCATGGGGAGAGATGGGGCGATTGGGGCGCTTCTGGAGAAGAGCAGGGTGGACGTGTATGGCGTGCACCGGCACAAAGTAAAGAAAAGTGTTGACTCAAGCTTTATCTGGTAGACTCTATAGATGGATTCTAGATTTGAAGCTTTCGTGACTGCAAGGATTCATACTCTTTGGTTTTATTCGGTAAAGTCATGTAGGTAAAATAAAATAAAAGAAAACAATTAAATCACGACGTTTCGGAGGCAACACAAGCTTCCGTCTTCAGGTGGAAGTCAGCAGTAAATCTGTGTTGAGTACACAGCTCTAGACGATCGGGTTTATATATTGTCGCGGCATCTTTTGAGGAAGATCAACATCTCGATGAGCTGTGACTTCTTATCTCGTTGTCTGTTAAAAGCTCTCACAGATAGGTGAAAATCCTCCCCGTAGAAGTTATTAATTCTAGATTTGAAGCTTTCGTGACTGCAAGGATTCATACTCTTTGGTTTTATTCGGTAAAGTCACGTAGGTAAAATAAAATAAAACAATTAAATCACGACGTTTCGGAGGCAACACAAGCTTCCGTCTTCAGGTGGAATAGTCACAGCAGAAAATCTGTGTTTAGTACACAGCTCTGAGACGATCGGGTTTATATAGTCGTGGGATCTTTTGAGGAAGGTCAGCGTCTCGATGAGCTGTGACTTCTTATCTCGCTGTCTGTTAAAAGCTCTAACAGATAGGTGAAAATCCTCCCCGTAGAGGTTATTAATTCTATATTTTAAGCTTTCGTGACTGCAAGGATTCATACTCTTTGGTTTTATTCGGTAAAGTCATGTAGGTAAAATAAAATAAAAGAAAACAATTAAATCACGACGTTTCGGAGGCAACACAAGCTTCCGTCTTCAGGTGGAAGTCAGCAGAAAATCTGTGTTGAGTACACAACTCTGAGACGATCGGGTTTATATATTGTCGCGGCATCTTTTGAGGAAGGTCAGCGTCTCGATGAGCTGTGACCAAAGAGTATGAAACCTTGCAGTCACGAAAGCTTCAAATCTAGAATTAATAACCTCTACGGGGAGGATTTTCACCTATCTGTTAGAGCTTTTAACAGACGAGATAAGAAAAAAATCCAGAAAAACGCATGTCAAAAATGTTATAAATTGATTTGCATTTTAATGAGGGAAATAAATATTTGACCCCCTCTCAATCAGAAAGATTTCTGGCTCACAGGTGTCTTTTATACAGGTAACGAGCTGAGATTAGGAGCACACTCTTAAAGGGAGTGCTCCTAATCTCAGCTTGTTACCTGTATAAAAGACACCTGTCCACAGAAGCAATCAATAAATCAGATTCCAAACTCTCCACCATGGCCAAGACCAAAGAGCTCTCTAAGGATGTCAGGGACAAGATTGTAGACCTACACAAGGCTGGAATGGGCTACAAGACCATTGCCAAGCAGCTTGGTGAGAAGGTGACAATAGTTGGTGCGATTATTCGCAAATGGAACACAAAAGAACTGTCAATCTCCCTCGGCCTGGGGCTCCATGCAAGATTCACCTCATGGAGTTGCAATGATCATGAGAACGGTGAGGAATGAGCCCAGAACTACACGGGAGGATCTTGTCAATGATCTCAAGGCAGCTGGGACCATAGTCACCAAGAAAACAATTGGTAACACACTACGCCGTGAAGGACTGGAATCCTGCAGCGCCCGCAAGGTCACCCTGCTCAAGAAAGCACATATACATGCCCGTCTGAAGTTTGCCAATGATTCAGAGGACAACTGGGTGAAAGTGTTGTGGTCAGATGAGACCAAAATGGAGCTCTTTGGCATCAACTCAACTCGCCGTGTTTGGAGGAGGAATGCTGCCTATGACCCCAAGAACACCATTCCCACCGTCAAACATGGAGGTGGAAACATTATGATTTGGGGGTGTTTTTCTGCTAAGGGGACAGGACAACTTCACCGCATCAAAGGGACGATGGACGGGGCCATGTACCGTCAAATATTGGGTGAGAACCTCCTTCCCTCAGCCAGGGCATTAAAAATGGGTCGTGGATGGGTATTCCAGCATTACAATAACCCAAAACACACGGCCAAGGCAACAAAGGAGTGGCTCAAGAAGAAGCACATTAAGGTCCTGAAGTGGCCTAGCCAGTCTCCAGACCTTAATCCCATAGAAAATCTGTGGAGGGAGTTCTAGTTGCCAAACGTCAGCCTCGAAACCTTAATGACTTGGAGAAGATCTGCAAAGAGAAGTGGGACAAAATCCCTCCTGAGATGTGTTCAAACCTGGTGGCCAACTACAAGAAACGTCTGACCTCTGTGATTGCCAACAAGGGTTTTGCCACCAAGTACTAAGTCATGTTTTGCAGAGGGGTCAAATACATATTTCTCTCATTAAAATGCAAATCAATTTATAAAAAAAAAATTTACATGCGTTTTTCTGGATTTTTGGTGTTGTTATTCTGTCTCTCACTGTTCAAATAAACCTGCCTACCATTACAATTATAGACTGATCATTTCTTTGTCAGTGGGCAAACGTACAAAATCAGCAGGGGATCAAATACTTTTTTCCCTCACTGTATACAAACATTAAAAAAATCTGCAACATTTAACATACGTTTATGCGATGTTAAATACATTGACTTAGCATCAAGGAAGAAGACAGCAAAGTAATTAACATCACACCGCAGTCAAATGCACAAATGGTGCACACTACCAGTCTCTATAGAGGATAGCACAAATACCCCACGAACCCACCCTGGACCCCTTCCGGACCAACCCCATACCACTGGAGACAGCCTTGACCAACCCAAAAAATAATCAGAACCTACCCAGAATCCGCTTGGAACCAACCCAGACCCCACCAGACCCACCCAGGATACCCCGCAGGAAACCCCTCGGACCCACCCCGGACCTCCCCTAACCCACCGCTGACCCACACCAAACCCACCGTGGAACCCCGAGGACCCACCCCAGACCTTGCCCAACCCAACCTAGACTGCCCCGGCCAGATACCAGACCCCCCCAACCCCCTGAACCCCCTTGGACCCCACCCGAACCAACCCCAAACACATGCCGGACCCCCGCAGACCCATCCAAAACCTCCCTGGGACCTGCCCAAACCCACCCCAGACCCCACCTAGACCAAACCCGAACTCCCACTGGAGCACCCTGGACCCACCTTGGAGCCCCACCAGACCCACCCTGAACACCCCCCCCCCCCCCAGACCTCCACCAGACCCTCCCCCAGACCAGCTCCGAATCCCCGCCCCACCACACTTGCTGTTCTGCCTTCTAAAGACCATTCAACCTATAATTTATAACACACACAGATGTCTTAATGTACCTCCGATTAGCACGGTTGGCAACATATGGTGAAAAATAAGTTCAACATACATACAACCCACAAACCTCGCTCCCATTCTGTTGGATCACAGGTGCGTCTTACCACCGCCACCATGCCCAATGCACAGTGGTGCCTGCAAAGACCACAACCAGAAAGGATTGACACATTTTCTACAGACCAAACCCAGACAGGCATATTTCTCAGTCAGCGTAGGACCTTCGGTGTATCAATACTGTGCACTAAATTGTAATAAACTTAAACAGAATTCCACCAGATATCGGTACATATTAATTCCTGCCACCTCGACTGTCTTGAGTCGAAACCAGACAAGTGGCAGTCCTACTGCCAGTGTCAACATTTTTATTTATTTAGGGGCTTATGCTGGGTGACAGTCACTCAGTAAAACACGTGCTCCATGAGCGAGCGTCCCTCGCTGTTGTCTCGCCCTTTAGGAAGCTGGGCATCCCCTGCAGTCTCGGCCCAGCCCTCATCATGGTCCAGCCTCCTCAGCGGCATGGGGGCCACGGCAGCGATGATGGCGGTCGCCAGGTCAGAGCAGCTGTGGCGCTCGCACTCCTCTGCAAGGCCCCGCCAGCCGGGCGAGGGGCACACGGCGTCGTGCTCGATGGCTTCTCGGAGACAGTCTAAGGAACAACCGTGGAGTGGTGGTGTCAGCAACACAGTAAGTTGAGGTACAGGTGCACCATTGCAATTGCTTGTTTGCAGCACTGCTTGTGGAGGGACCTCCACTCGAGGCAGATCTTGAGAACCTGTCTACAGAGTATTTGGCCTATATTTACCGACGTCATGTAACAATACGGAAATGGCCAATCGACTAACTGTGGTGTACACCTTTTTACGGCAGGGTGACCAAAGGTAAGATCATTTTTAGATAGGAGTGGCCAAAAGTGGGAGAATTTAGATAAAAATTTTCTGCTGCCATGCCAGGGAGAAGGAACAATGTGTTCACCATCACACCATGGTAGCTAATTATCTCAAATTCGACAGTTTCATTTGCAAGACAAAGTCCGTGTTGTAGATGGTGGATCCAGAGCTGCTGGGGAGGACCGTGGTGAAGGAGTGTGCATCATGGCGGCGGATTGACCTTCACTCACACTCGCCGTGCAGGTTGATGAAGGAATAATATTTTGTATCACTTATTGCCGAGTTGCTGAAATTGGTTTGGGTGGCCCTTTACAGTTTAGCTACGCAGATCTACAAGGCACTCGAGCTTCTTTGCTACAGAAAGGCAATGCTTAATTGAAGATGAATGAAATTTGTTCAAAAAATTTTCATTGAATACTTCAATCATCACTATTGTATAGTTTTATCTGAGTCTGTTACCATGAGGCACACTTGTAATGCTGATTCTTAAACCGAAGAAAACATAAAAGGTGGCATTTGAAACACAAGAAGTAAGCTGATCCCCAAGGCTTGAAAAGGTATTGTTGAAAAAATATAGAACAAATGTACAAAAATATGATAGAGTGGGAGAGCAAGCGAGGGTAAGGAAGCATGAGAAAGCGAGATAGCGCAAGAGTCTGGCGAAGCGCATGGATGTGCGTGGAGTTCATGCATATGGCTTCAGCAAATAACAGAGAAGTTCATGTGTTTACATCTAGAGAATTGCGTGTGCACATACGCATGTCGTGTCCTATCGCGCAACTTAATTAGCGAACTAACAGTGTTCCTGGTCAGCGTATTCCGGTTTATGTATATTTTTGCAGCTTTTCCAGCTTGCCCCGTAATCGAGTTGGGCTTCGAGAGGTTTTACTAGACTAACATTTGATTTTTCTCCAGTGCAATGAGCCATTCTCTGCCCCTGTTGGTGTATTTCGAATATTTATCTCTGGATCAGCAGAAACGTACAGAATCTTCTTAAGTGATATGTGCAGAGTAATAATTTCCTTTGGTGACTCTAAACAAACGGTGTAAATTCCACATTCCTATGGTCGGAGAGAGTCTATCCATGTCATGACCGATGCTCACTCTATACAAAGCAGCACATCAAAACCTTGCCCATCGTGGGGGTTACGTTCCTGACAATAGCCGCAATCATAAAAAACACAATTCGCAAACTCAAAAAATATGGTTTGGTTCCCGGTTCGTAACACGAAACCCCCTCCTTTGTTTTATGTTCGCCTACATGAACCGAAACATGAAACAGGAAGTATTTTTTTTATGTAAATGATCAGTAATATTATAGATTGAAAACGAAAATATGTATATTCTTCTGCGGCAGGATTGCGAGCACAGTGCAGTTAAGAGTACCTACATAGTACTTATTTACGATGCGCAATGTACAGGTGTGGTGCCACAACAGCGAAGCCACTCCGTGGGAGCCGTGCCTGCGGCGGGGGTGCTGCAGCAACAAAGCCACCCGGCTTCCGTCACAGCGCTTCCCCCAACACCCCCCACATGAACACACACACACACACATCCCCACATAGAGCCCCGAGGGGAGGTCACCTGGCCGACAGGTTTTCACCCAGAAGCCCTCTTATGGAACAGAACTTCATAGTTTCCTGCGACCAGGGAATTGAGCGACCTCCCCGAGGCTAACGTGCACCGCGGCGCCGTGACCTGGGTTGTAATTACATGGTCACGACGGGGGTTGCTGAGCCACCGTGGATAGAGCACCTCGATACTCGACACGGGTCAGCAGGCAGGTAAGGGGTGGGGCGGAGTAGCGAGCGGCGGAAAAGCAGGGGGCCCTCCCCTTGCACAGCGTGTGTAGGGGGTGGACGTCGGAGAGAGCACTAATCCGATTAGCAAAGAGCGGGAAATCCGAGGCTCCGGATTGGACGAGAGGCCAGCGGATTAGCGGCACGTTATCTTTGATGTAGGGACGATAAAAAGGGAGGGAAGTCAAGGGCAAAGTCTCTTTTGTTCGGGTTCTTCTGGAGTGAGGGATCGGAGGAGTCATCGTGCCCTGCTACTGGAACGTCCGTGAGATGAGTCGCAGAGCAGCTAAGCCCGGTTCCCAGCAAAAGCTACGTGCAGCCTCGCCTTTCCACGGCTTCCTACACCTCGAAATCGGATTGTAAGTACGGAGGAGAGAGGTAAGACAAAGGGGAATATCCCTTAGGGAGAGTGAGTAGGGAGAGATGGGACATATTGAGTCCTAGACCGCCGGGAGATAGGTTAGACCTGCCCTGCTGGCCCACACTGACACGGGTAGATTAGCTTCGTTAATCGGAGAATAAATCGCCAGTAGACAATAAACCTTGTCGTGTTGTCCCTGCGAGTGCGGAGAGGGGTGCATGGTGTTGTAAGCCTTCTCGTTGTGGTTGCCTGTGTTTGCGCACGAGCGTGTAATTTACCCGCGTGGGTGCAATCGCCACTGTGCGGCTCGTGGTTAGCGTGTGCGAGAGGGGCACGGCGGCGTACTCGCGAGGTGGTTCATACAGCCCTTTAAATCATGCCTCGAGGGGCCGCAGCGAGGGGGGGGGGGGAGTCGGAGAGCAGTGGGTCGCAGATGAGCGGGGAGTCGGGGGTCAGCCTCCCCGACACAGGAATCTCACGGTCAAAGCCGCGAATGGTCGAGCCATGGCAGCACAAACGGTGAACTGTACCTCAATAAACGTGGTGGAAATAGCCAAATCCACGATGGGAAAACCCGCGATGGCCAAGATTTTGGTGTACTTAATTTAATGAAATCAGACAAGTCAACAGCTGAGTCTGCCCTCAACTAAATTTTAACCTCCAACCTTCCAAATGCAAGTTGAGCACTCTGCTAACAGTGCCAAGCAGCTGGCTATTCATTGCCATGTGGCTGTGTAATTACGTGTTCTCTGTCGGAGAGATGCATTTGTCCTTCAGGGGCTCTATAGGTCCCAATTGCAAATGTAGTTAATTAAGTGCATGCTGTGCTGATCATGCAGCGGTGATGTACAGCTCACCTGGCCCGCAGCTGTAGATGGCACGCAGGAGCTGCATGGCGTAGCAAGTCCGCTGGGCAGACACCAGGACTGAGGCTACCAGTCCCAGGGATAGCATGGGGAGCCGTCCCCGCCAGCCCTGAGTGAGACCCCGGACTAGTTCCACGCTGGCACAGCGGAGAACCAGGTATATGCAGTCCTCTGCGAAAGCCACGGGGGCATTGATTAATTAATTTGCTTTGACCGCCAAACAGTCCAAATATCAGTGGTCACTACGCTCGAAAAAGCACAAGCACTTACTCATCTTTATTGGTGGCCCTGAACCACAGAAGGACATTCTGTAACTCCTCTGATGGGGGAAGGAATTTAAACAGGAAGGACTACCTTGATTTGGTGCTTTAGAGACTGCAGGAATTACTCTTTGGTTTTTTCGGTAAAGTCACGTGGAAATAAGAAATAATCATAAAATTACATAATAGCATACGACGTTTCGATTGCAACGCAAGCAATCATCATCAGGTATAGAAGAGCTAAATTGAAGAGAGAGAGGAAACACAGAACCGCAGATATATATACAGACAACTAAGTAGAGGGAGTTAACACAGAGACACAAAGAGACACAACGTACGGAGCACAGAGAGATAGGGTCTATGTGCCGAGGCCTTAGCATGTAGGGGAGACAAAGAGAGATGGAGAAGCACATCAAATCGAACAAGATTTAGTAAAATTTGGAAGCAATATAATGCAGCACAGAGGGTCTATCAAAACACAATCAACGGATGGTCTGGCTGATTACGTTATTTCAAAGATTGCTAAATTATAGGTTAAGAGTGATAGAGTACAGATCGCAAACACATATATAGACATCTAAGCAGAGAGAGTTAGCAGAGAGATACACAGAGAGAGACACACACATGGGACACAGTGAAACAATGCTTCTGTGTCGAAGCCTTAAATAGAGGGATAGGGGGGGGGCGGAGACAGAGAAAAGGAATACAAATTAGCATGGACTGGACTGAGCAAGTAGAGGAGCCACGCACATGCCGCTGCAGCGTGGTGAGGGGGGGGGGCACAAACATCAGATTAGCATGACCACAGGGACTGTGGAGAGAGACAAGACACATACACGTAGACACAAAGGCAGAAACACAGGTAGAGACAACACTGAGACACAAACTTAAGTTAAGTGTGACATTTGAGAGAGACAAGACACATACACGGAGACACAAACAGAGACAACGCAAAGACACATACTTGATACCTCCCCGTAGAGGTGGTTCAAACTTGATTTGGTGCTTTCGTGACTGCAGAAATTGCTCTTTGGTTTTTTTCGGTAAAGTCAGGTAGAAATAAGAAATAATAATAAAATTACATAATAGCATACGACGTTTCGATTGCAACACAAGCAATCATCAGACCGCAGCCCCTTCGCCAGCATTGACTCTTAATACCTCTCACACCACGGTTAATGGTATGGTTTTACAACATGGAGTATGAGTAGCGCCTCGCAGCTGTCTCTCTCCCCCTCCTCTGTTCCGACCATGGACGAACTCGTCCGTCTGAACGGGGCCCGTAGCTATCCGTGGTGCTAAAGTTGAGGCTTAAAGGCCGTGATCTGAACGTGGCTCTTTCACTCCAGCGCTGTCCTACCAGACAGTCTCGTCCCTTCACCTGATGAAGGCCGCTTGTGTTGTGGCCGAAACGTCGTGAGAATATTATTGTGTTATTTTATTTTATCAATTTATTATTTTATTCTCATTCTACGTGACTTTACCGAAAGAACCAAAGAAGATGAATCATTGCAGTCACGAAAGCTTTAAATCGAAAAATAGAAGAGCTAAATTTAAGAGAGAGAGGAAACACAGAACCGCAGATATATATACAGACACCTAAGTAAAGGGAGTTAACACAGAGACACAAAGACACACAACGTACGGAGCACAGAGAGATAGGGTCTCTGTGCCGAGGCCTTAGCATGCAGGGGAGACAAAGAGAGATGGAGAAGCACATTAAATCGAACAAGATTTAGTAATATTTGGAAACAATATAATGCAGCACACAGGGTCGGTCAAAACACAATTAACGCATGGTCTGGCTGATTACGTTATTATTATTTCTTATTTCTACGTGACTTTACCGAAAAAAAACAAAGAGTAATTCCTGCAGTCACGAAAGCACCAAATCAAGTTTGAACCACCTCTATGGGGAGGTATCAAGTATGTGTCTTTGCGTTGCCTCTGTGTCTCCGTGTATGTGTCTTGTCTCTCTCTCAAATGTCACAATTAACTTAAGTTTGTGTCTCAGTGTTGTCTCTACCTGTGTTTCTGCCTTTGTGTCTACGTGTATGTGTCTTGTCTCTCTCCACAGTCCCTGTGGGCATGCTAATCTGATGTTTGTGCCCCCCCCCTCACCACGCTGCAGCGGCATGTGCGTGGATCCCTTTTCTCTGTCTCCGCCCCCCCCCTCTCCCTCTATTTAAAGCTTCGACACAGAAGCATTGTTTCACTGTGTCCCATGTGTGTGTCTCTCTCTGTGTCTCTGTGCTAACTCTCTCTGCTTAGATATCTATATATGTGTCTGCGATCTGTACTCTATCACTCTTAACCTATAATTTAGCAATCTTTGAAATAACGTAATCAGCCACACCATGCGTTAATTGTGTTTTGACCGACCCTCTGTGCTGCATTATATTGTTTCCAAATGTTACTAAATCTTGTTTGATTTGATGTGCTTCTCCATCTCTCTTTGTCTCCCCTACATGCTAAGGCCTCGGCACAGAGACCCTATCTCTCTGTGCTCCGTACGTTGTGTCTCTTTGTGTCTCTGTGTTAACTCCCTCTACTTAGGTGTCTATATATATCTGCGGTTCTGTGTTTCCTCTCTCTCTTAAATTTAGCTCTTCTATAACTGATGATTACTGCTTGCGTTGCAATCGAAACGTCGTATGCTATTATGTAAATTTATTATTTCTTATTTCTACGTGACTTTACCGAAAAAACCAAAGAGTAGGAAGGACTACCATTCACTTCCTGCAAATTTAAAGTAATTTTACCAACCCCCGTGAATTTTTGTGTACGTTGAACTTCCTTCAAGGAGTATGTAGCCAACCGTGCTAATCAGAGGTGCGGCAGAAGGACAACAAACTAAAAACAAAAAGCAGTTCTAAAGAAATGAGTTTTCAATCCAGATTTAAGAGTGCATAGCTCCAGTGGCTTCCTAATATCAGAAGGAAGAGCGTTCCAGGAAGTTAAGTTGATCTCAACCGGGAGTTGAACTCATGGGTTCTAAATTGCGAGTCATCTTTATCAAATCATAAAATATATCCATGCAACAGCTCTTCACTTAATTCACTTACACTGCTGGATTATATTTGTTCCGCCTGAGGACGACCGCTTGTGTTGCGATCGAAACGTCGTGATTTATTTTATTTTATACCTATATGACTTTACCGAAAGAACCAAAGAGTATGGATTCCTGCAATCACGAAAGCTTCAAATCAAGACTTAATTAACTTGTTTATATAACTGTAGACGTTTTAAAACCATGCTTCTGCACAAGTGCACCACAAATAGCAGGTAAATTGCCACCTACTGAAATAAAATCCATGTGGCTGAACAGTGTAGCGTGCGCACAAAGCACGCATCATAACCTCACCCATGCTGAAAGAGTCACAGGTGTGGACATAGGCAAGAGCTCCCTGCACTCGGCCTTGGCAGCACAGGGCCTCAGCTGCCTTCCCGTGGGCACCAGACCCGGCAAACACGGCGTGTGCCAGCACCAAACACAGAGGGGCAGTCGTTGGCTCCGTCTCACCATGCCGGCAAATCACATCTCCTAGTGCTTCGGAGAATGTTAGCCTGGATGCAGACACACCATCACACCACAGACAAGCATCACCTCTGTACATAATGCCTGTATAGCAATCCCTTGCCAACCGCGGACTTGCCTACCACGAAATTCATGTATACACCTTCTTTGGTTCTTTTGGTAAAGTCACGTAGAATGAGAATAAAATAATAAAATAACACAATAAAATTCTCACGACGTTTCGGCCACAACGCAAGCGGCTGTCTTCAGGTGAAGGGAACAGACGTGTCGGGACGACAGAGCTTCAATGAACGATGTTAGGATTCGTAGCGACTTTTAAGCTGGTTGGGAGAAGTGAGGCACCTTGACAAAAGGATTTACATATCAATTAGCTGAGGGATTAGCTTGTGACTGGTCACAGAAATGGCTATGTTAAAGTCAAAACCTACACATCCACAGAGGCAACTAGTAATTTAGCATTGAAATAGCTAAGGGATTAGCTTGTGCAAATAGCTGAGGGATTAGCTTGTGACTGGTCACAGAAATGGCGATGTTAAAGTCAAAACCTACACATCCACAGAGGCAACTAGTAATTTAGCATTGAAATAGCAAAGGGATTAGCTTGTGACTGGTCACAGAAATAGATGTTAAAGTAAAGGCCTACACATCCACAGAGCTTCAATGAACGCTGTTAAGATTCGTAGCGACTTTAAGCTGGTTGGGAGAAGTGAGGCACCTTGACAAAGGGGGTCTACATATCAAATAGCTGAGGGATTAGCTTGTGACTGGTCACGGAAATGGCTATGTTATACACGTTTTATTATCTGTATACCAATTTACTAAACGCAGCCTGTAAGCACGGGTCTGCAACACGCAATTTACAAATGTTGTGGGGATGCGGTTCTACTCTGCACCTCCGCGCCACCCATGGGGCTGCGTCGTAGCCTATCAGCTGTCTGTCTGCTCTGTTGTGATTTTCGAAGGCCAAAGACCGTGTCGTATCGCAACCATAGAGGGAGGTGTACCGGAACTTACACTAAAAAAACACAGCATCCATGCATCCTAACTTTTTAAATGAAAAGTACCAACACCACCGATCCAGCCAGCAGCACAACTGATCCAGCCACCAGCACCACTGTGACTGCCTCCTCGCCTGCCTCCTCGCCTGCCCACTCATCTGTCATTGATGACTCGGAGGAAGAGGGGAAGGGTGAGCTGAGCTCCTCCTTCTAACCACCCCTTCCCCCATAATCTTATTTTAGTATCTTGCCCTTCCCCCGCACCTCCGAATAGGACGGTTGGCTATGTACGGTACAAAAGAAGTTCAATATAATACATACATTTTCATCATCACCGTTAATATTAAAGGTATGTAAAGTTAATGTAATGTTCATGTTTATTACGTTATTGTGTAATGTACTGTATTTTATTGTGTTTAGTTAATAAACAGGCAAGTTAATTAAGCTACGACGAGTCTGACCATGGCCCCTATACTTGACCAACCACGGATTTGCCTGCCGTGGCTTTTTCCAGGAACCTAACCCTCTCGATTAGCAAGCGATTTCTGTACTTCGTGTATTGTGTTAATATCAGCATTTGGGGTGACATAAGTGGCCAAATATGTGAAGGAAGTGGTGTGAGTGTGATTCTCATGTACATATCGGTGCTGTGTCTGTGTGTGTATCTGTATGTATGTCCATGTGTCTGGTAATGTATCTGTGTGTCTGTATTGGCTGTGTGATGCTGTGTGGAAGCTACCTGGCTTCTTTTAAAAGCTCTGGGTCTTTTGGCCACAATTGTGTCCTCTCTACTCTATGCTTACAAAATTTGGACCCCTTTAAACATACATCTGTGTTAGCTTGAAACATTCAGGCTGGCCTGCCTACAATCCATGCTGGGTTTAAGCAGGCTGGATCGTGTGGGGAGCTCAAACATCTTGAAAGAACTGGAAAGAGTGCCATTCGTGAGCTTCTCCTGCAGGCGAGGTGACATTGGTTGGGTCATGTAGCCTGCATGCCAAGCCTCCTTGTGGCGAAGTAGGTTCTGTTTGACCAGACACAGGGGCACGGCATGGGCTGATGAGGTACAGGAGGATGTGGAGCTGATTTGACTTACCGATGACTGGTACCAGCAGTATCAATAATGGCCTCTGCTTGTGCAGGACACTACTGGGCTGTTTGAGGCAGTCGCCCTCCAACAAGGATGGAGGAATGATGAACATAACAATGAACAGAGTACCGGTCAGTTAAATTACAGCAAGTTGGCACGGTGGGCAGCACAGGTGGTGCATTTGTCTGTCATCTCAGTCAACTCATATCATATGAGGCTGCCCTGTGACCTGCTATCCGCAAACCTTCCACACTTTACATGCTCTCAAAGTACACCTAGCCTGGCATAAGCACCATGGTGACATGATCACGACTTAGTGACGAATGACAGCTGTTGCTGTCTGTATGGGGAATGGTGGCGCCGTGGTTAGTACACTGCACTATAAACTCAGCTTCCTGAGTTCGATTCATACTCAAAGCCAACATTCGTGACAAATATTTGAAATGGTCATGGGCCTCCCCTAGCTCGACTCACCACTGGGGAGGACAAAGGCGGCGAAGCGTGGTACTGGTTCACACCACCGCCTCGTGTGGCACGCCGGCCTTCATAGGTGCTTGCTAACAGCACTTGTCCTAACAGCATGTGTAGACTACATGGAGGATCTTTGCCTCTATATTCATATGTGTATATCGTACATATTATTGTGATTGTGTATGATTGTCACAGGCGAGTACCGGCAATGTGTCACCCAGTGCATGAGCAGGTCCAGCCTGTGCTCTTGCAGCGAACAGCAGGTGGCCTCCAGACTTGTGCGAGCATCGGGCAGGCACCGAGTGGCCGTCGCAGAACCTATCAGTGTCTGGAACCAGAGCAGCAGGGGCAGTGGCTCTCCATGCTGCCGATGGAGCGCTGGGGACAGGAGGTGTGACCAGCAAAGGGACCAGGGGGAGGTGAGGTTTGATCGTAGTGAACAAAACTTTTGTTTGACACACGAGTCTTCCATTGACTAAAACAAAGACACCCCATAAATGTATATAGGTGTCTGGGGCCAGTGCTGTGAGTGAGCAACTATTAAGGCTGACATGGCATACAAGGGGGTGGGTGTGGCCAGAATCATGGCTGCCAACCTTTGTTCCCTTCAACCCTGATGTTTACACACTACGCCAGATATACATTTACAGCTGAGTCGACCTAAAGGTAGTACAGAACCAGTTCAAATATCACTACTGTTATTAGCCGTCAATTAAATTAATGCGGCTCTGTTCGTAGCAAAGTATGCTAACCACTGCACTACCACTCCTACAAAAACCACAGGTGTGCACCTGCATAGGCTTATCCAATGACCTCAAGGAGAATCCAAAATATGGTTAAGTCACCACTTAACACATGTTCACACAACATGTTTCATTTAAAACGGGGTTATTCCACGAAGGAACACTTTTCGCACAAAGGAGAACACGCAACGTTGTGATGTGGAACGCTCGCCATTGTAACACGGATCGCTCGCCGTTGTAACGCGGTCTTCTGAGCGGTTGACAATGAACTACTTTCTTGAGCTGCACAGCTGAGCGGTATGATGCAGTACGCAAAATGATACAGTAACGCAACATTATACCCTCAGTCATTTGTCCTGCCATCTTACCCTGTGTGCATACATCGTATCTCCCCAAATTTTATCGCTACATTATTTACAGGGAAATAGTTTTCGCTTCATGCCCTTTTCGCTTAACGCAAGCACATTTTTTTCTCTTAACGCAGCGCATCTACCACATTACACGAGGACTTACTGTATGTATAAACCGTGGTAGCTTGTGTCTTCAGTATTAAGAGGCAATGAAGTCGAAATGAGTTTATTGGTCTCTGGAAATAAGCAAAGGTGAATCAAGTGGTCAATCCTAAAGATGAACGTTTTGCATCAATGAGCTTCCGCTTGATTATAGAGGGAATGTTGTTCCCCTTAGCTCTGGCTAGCCTATCCTCCTGTACCCAGTTCTCTCCCCGGTTACTCCAGGAATAAGTTATTCCTGTTTACGTTCACAGATCCTGTTGCCCCTATCTCCAGTCACTAATGTTACCAGCTGCTCCTTTGCCTTTGCTGCCATTCATCCCACCCCCTAACCTCGTCACGAGAGCCCTCTAGCCCTGTGACCGGTTGCCCCTGTGCACTGGCTCCCAAAGTCTCACTAGAGAAGCAGTGAGCGGTATGCTCCTTTCGCAGAATTCCGTGGGGGCTGCTGGCCGCATGCTGTGCCGCTTGCTCGTAGTGGCCATCTTGAAGCAACTCATTAAACCTGCACGCACCCACCCAATCACAGACCGCACCGCACAGCAGCATTGTCCGGTCATAGGATAAACACAAGCTGTTATCCTGAACTGCATTGAGTTTGTTTATACATTTGAAGTGTGTTAACTTAGGCGCACACTTGTACTTGGAGGCAACACGTTTATTTAACACAACGGGAAACTCTAACAGGATAACAGCATAGGGTGGTGACCACCATGGCTAACTAAACTGACACTCGGAGAGATAATTCTATAGTCGGACCAGGACAGCTAACTAGCTGCCTGGTCCACGCGTGAAGACCGTAGACCGCGGATCGAGGATAGCGACTTCATTCCCAGAGTTGAACGCCCCGATCCCTCTCGGGACCCTGCTTATAACTCACCTGGTGTGGCCAGCCCCGCCCCTGGCCACGCCCCCCTTCCAGAACGCTCGTGGGGACTCTGGATCCTCATCACATGATCCTCTCACCCCCGACTGGGGGCCCCCCTGCCCCCCTCGTCCGGTCATGTGCCCTCCCGGGTTCACCCCACTGTCATGTCTTGACGCGACCCCCGTCTCAGCGACACCCAGGCTCCACCCTTACAGTACCACCCCTCACACGGCACTGTCTCTACACCGCGGTGGCCCCCTCGAGGCCACCATACATTCATAATGCAGTTTTTGGGTTAGATCACGTAATTATAAATGTGTCGTAATACCACCTCCACCCAACACATAAGGTTTGTCACGTGAACAAAACGTCCCAATTAGTTACTTCAGCCTATCGGTGCGTTGGAGAGCAACCCCACAACATTTACAATTTGACACGTAGGCTTTTGCGACCAATATCATCCATAAGAGGTTGTTTTGGGTTAGATCACGTTGGGCAAACAGGATAAATGATCAGCATGAGACTAAAAGAACATCAGAGAAATATTAAATACTCCCAAATACAACTGTCAGCAATAGCAAAACACGTGTGCCAATAAGGACACTCAATTGATTTTGATAATGTTGAAGTTCTGTGCAAAACTAGCTACTACTGGCCAAGACTAATTAGAGACTCTATCGAAATTGAAAGAAGTAAATATAATTGTAACCGTTCGGATAGCTACCGACTTAGTGCTGCGTGGAAGCGAATCATCAAACAATACATTGTTTAAATGCATGCCTATACAGGGCACCATACTTCAATAGGGATTACTCTTGGTACGGCTATTTTAATACACACAATGAACATGAATGACAAGATCAAAGGGCTCGCATAATGCGCATGCATAATGTATGTTGACACATTAATCCCCCCCGCCCCATTTTGCGCAAGAGCGCAGAAGTGTGGTCACCACATCTACGCCTCTATATAAGGAACGAAACAAGCGGACTTCTCCAAAAATCTGGCTGTCGCCTGATGAAGCTAGATGTAATTGTAGTGACTGTGAATGTCACTGTGTGGTGCCGGCCTTGCGAGGCTACGGCGGATAATATGTTGTCATTATGTGCAGCCCGGTTACTGGGCATAGTACCAGACCTAGCGGGGCTTGGGTGAGCGCTGGTTAGCGCAGAGGCACCACGTACAGTGTGCGGTGCGGGCTCCCGGTGAGGAAGCGAGAGAGAGTGTCAGCCAGCCAGGGTTACGTTGGGGCATGATACGCTGGTTGACCTGCCGATATGTGACCCGATGATATTGGAGGGGGGCCACCAGTGGACGGGAGCCGCTGGGTGGTCACGTGGTATAGAGGAGCTCTCGGGAGCCTTCGGGAAAGAGCTCGAGAGATCTAGAATGTGGGCGGGGCGAGAGGCGGAGCCAGCCCCAGCCCGGGCCGATATAACGGGGGCCCGGTGTGGGGCTCGGGGTTCTTGACTATTGGCGAGTGAAGATCCACGTCGGGTTGAAGAAGCCTCTAGCCACGCGGTCCGGGACCCAGCTCGTGTTTTGGACCGGGATAGCGGGACCGTGTCTAGTTCTGCGGTAGCGTGGTTAGATGGGCGTTCGACACCTGAGTGTAGGTTTCGTTATGTTGTGTGTTGCGTTGATGTAATAAATAGTGTTGCTCCCAAGACAACGTCTGCGACTCAGTTGGACACACTACATAATTACTGGCGAAACGTCATACTCAGATTGTAAATGTTGTGGCTTGGCTCTCCAACACACCGGTGTGCTGTACTTGTGACGAATTGCCATGTTCTGTTTACTAGTTGGCTGTGCTGGGTGTTGGCGGGTTATATATTATGGATTTACAATTTGAGTAAGACATTTCGCTGGTGATTACAACCAGCTTCATCAGGGGATTGCCAGAATTGTGAAGAAGTCTTCCTATTTTCAGTCTTAAATCGAGTAAGGTGATGTTATTACTGTGCGCCTACAAGTGCTAAGGGAGGTTAATGTATCACATAAATTATAATGGCGAAATGACAGCTGATTCGCCACTTTAACACGTAGGCTTTTGTGACCAATATCTATAATAGAGGTTTTGTTGTGAGTTTACTCTCAAACACACCAGTGTGCTGAACTAATAACTAATTGGCATGTTTTCTTTACGTGACAAACCTTACAAATTGGCTATGTCGGGTGGTGATGGGTTTAACAACACATTTATATTTACACGATGTAACCCAAAAAAAGTCTGCTATGGATGATTAACCACTATTTTCTATTAATTCGCCCATTTTTTGTATTCCCCTCTGAAGTAAGTAACTACATGTTCAATCAGCGCATGAAACAAGGTTGGGTATTTTGTAGAAGACATTGCCAATGAATTGGCTGACTGACCTGTCTATGTAGGAAATAACTTGTGCCCCCTCCGATCCCTTGCCAGGTTCATCGTCCCCAGAGCCACCGACCATCTCCATCTCTGCTTGCTCCAGGTCATCTACCCACAGGGAACGTGTTCAATGCAATGCATGCAACACAAACACAGGACATGGTCAGTCTATACCTTGCAACAAAAGGCATGTGGACATCTGTGAAACTACTTGACATCTGTGAAAAATATATTTATAGCTCATCGGATTCCTCCAGTATAAATAAATATTCTGATCCTGATGTGGCCCACAAGGAATTATGTCATTTAAAGACAATGAAAACCACCAATCCATTATGTCATTCAGATGATGTCATGGTTACACACTCCTATAATTGTATCACCACCTTCTGGCGTTGTCTTTCCATTGGCTTTGGACCTCTAGTTGCCATTCTGCATATGTGCCCCACCCATTGTAAACTATTTTTTCTGACTACATCTGCAACACTTTTCTTCCACACTCAATTATTAATGTTCAAACTACTCATTGCATTTTACCATGAAATTCCTCAAATCCTCTGCATGCACCTATATTCAAAGGCCAGAAGAATATTTCTAAAAGAATGATTGAGGCATCATTCCATGATTGCAGTGTATAATTGTTGTTGAAACATTTGTAAGCAAATCTGAAAATTTTCTGAGTTGTCCCCATTTGTTGATGATGTCCACAGTTATATTATCTGGTAGAGGAGCTTTCCCCTTTTTCACATTGCAAACGGCATGGTTTATTTTTTTAAAGTGAAACATCCGGAACTTCTGCCTCTGAATAGCAGAGATGGTAGAATTCCTGGGCTATATGTATTGTATGCTATCCAAGAATTCGAGCTTTAAATTATCATTCAATCTTTCTCTTAAGGCTACCATTTGTGCATTGCCAAAATTCATCCTTTTCCATAAGAGGTTTTTGGGTTAGATCGCGTAAATATAAACACGTCGTTAAATTCGCCACCACCCGACACAGCCAATTAGTAACAAACTTTACTAATATTTATGCGATCTAACCCAAAACATCTATTATGGATAATATTGGTCGCGAAAGCCTACGTGTTAAACAACCATCCTTTTTTATTCCTGTTGCTTACTACGATGTTTTTAATCGTTTTTGTGTTGTGTTCCGAGATTTCTGATTGAAAGTGATAACAGCATGAACGTGTATTAACAGTGAATTATTTGATACATGTGAGAGAAGAAAAATGAGAAAACCGTTGGGAAAGTATCACACTGCAACACTGAGAGTGATGGCACAACTACCAAGTGCATTTTCCTGTGCGAGTCTCACCCTGGTGATGCTCATTCTCCCACACCCCCTGTACCATGACCTCCAGCAGGGAACCACCGCAACGGTTGTGCAGCCGCCACATCCTCGCCGCCCCGCACGAGGCCTTCAGCCTCCTGTACCTGCCACAGAATAAAACATCCCGCCAGAGGCTCATTTTGAAACGTCAACATCCAAGTGTCTACCTTTTCTAATGAGTAGTGTAGATGGCTCTAATCTTCATTGGTAGACTTGAGCCAGTGGTAAAAATTCCACATGGTTATGGCAGGAGCTAGTCTCTTCATAGGATGATCAATGTCAACTTGCCATTCAAATGTAACACATTTTATTTATCCTAGTGTAGTGTGGTGAAATACGTGGTACACACTGTTGTCCGAGGGCAACCGAGGACAAACACGTCCGTGTGTGCAACATGAGGTTGCACGGGCAAACCGCCACCTAATTTGGGAGAGAAGCTGGTGCAGACCAGGTCCGCCTGGAGTTGCACACTGACACCGGAGGTGTTGCCAGGGAGATGTGCGATAAGGGGTGATTGATGGCCTGACAGGTGCCAGGTGCTCAGTCGCCACGTAATTCTGTTCTGAATCTTGACCACGAGACGTGGGCTAAGCTGCAGGTTGATGACGCCTCATTGACGTTGCGCCGTCGTGCTTCTCGGGGACCGGGGCCCGCAGATCGCCCAACCATTGTGCTGCGTGAGGGACTCCTCATGAAATGGGAGGGGGAGTCCTTGGGCTGAGACTCTCCCGCTCCCCCTTGTGGGAGCTCACACTACACGCTATGCGCGGTGCCCGCGCTATCCCAGCACTCACCAAGCCCTGCTAGGGCTGATATTACAGCAATCTACGGGGTGTACGTGATGATGGTGTATCGCACGCTGTGCTATAGTAAAGCCGGCATCACACAGCAACCTACCCAGTGCTGTCCGCGACATAGGAACAATCACACGCCACGACCCTCTCGGGCCGGCACCATACAGTGATATCCCCGATGTTACTACACATGAATGCATCTGTGATTCTCAAGTCTCCCAGTAAAACATGGTTCAATAGAACAACTCTCACTTCTCCTCTACTACTCTCACTATCTGGAAACTCCAACCCCTGGCTGTCCCACATTTATGACTTTCCAGTTCTAACAGTTACCTGCGTCGGCTGGATATGTTTTCAGCAAGCAGCTGGCTACGTGTGCTCATTTCCTGCTGCAGCTGCTGCCGTAGGTCACGGAGGAGCTGCACCGGCACAAAGCGCTCCCGGTTTGCCACACACAGCTCAGCCTCACGAGCACGCAGCTGATGCAGCCGCTCTGTCAGGAACTCCGGATCTGTGGCCTCATGCAGAGAGAGACCTGCAGAAGTACTCACACACACACAGCAATACATGTAAACAAGTGAAAAAAATACGTACACATATACATACACACGTAAATATATATGCACACATACACATGAGTAACCATACACTCTAAGCACTGCCAACCGGCAATACACATATATTAAGTGTTATACAGTTTAGGGAAGCATAGGGAATGTAGTGTTAACAGCTTGCTTGTTCACACACACCGTGTATTGGTTTGAGTGGTGGCATGGCATGTGTATCTGCTGCATCTGGAATGGGCTGATCCAATACAGATGTAGTTGGTGACTTTCGATGGTGCAGTTGAGCCTCCAGTTTGGCATTGTTCTCTTCTATAAGGGCAATCCTGTGGCAACAGAGCAGTGCAGACAGACACCCTCCTTTACTAACACCTGAACAATGTAGCCAGCCATATTGGTGATTATAACTTTTACGATAGCTTTTTTTTAGCAAAGAGAAAAAAAGATTTATGGACTTATGAAATATGGAGTTAAAATATGAAGTTGTGAATTCACATATTAGCAGTCTTCTGTTACCAGGTATTGGGTAACAAACTATCACTTAAACATTCAAGCATGTGTAATGTAGACATTTGTCGAAGTAAAATTGAGTGCATATTTAATGACAGGTTGGTTGTGCATAAGCAACACCCCTGAACACGGTGGTGCAACCAGGAGGCATTGTCCAGTCTTCAATCATGAACCTCTTTATTTAGAAAACATCCCGTTACGTTGGGGACTTGCTTAACAAATAAAAAATAATATAATACACAGCCTAAGGGTACCTACAGACATATATTATGCTCAATACACGAGCAGTGATCATTGTTGAGAACCCCCTGCGCTATGGGAGGGCACACTTCAAGCGCTAACTGCCGTAGGGTGTGCGAGAGGTGAGGTGGTCTACTTAGGCACACCATACACTTACAAGGACTTGATCAACACAGGACAGAGCCCAGACCCACACCGATTAACACGGTTGGCTGTGTACTGTACGAAAGAAGTTCAACAGAAAAGAACACCAAAAGCACCCTCTGGGCAGTTCTTAAATAGCCTGAAGTCAACCAGCTCTGCCTGGTTCACCCACAGACTATGGACACCAAAACAGCTCCAATCATCCCATTACCACCCAATTCGCTTACAAATGATTAGCTCGTCCTGATTGGGCTTTGTTTTGAGCCACCGCACCTCCGATCAGAAGGGTTGGCTATGTAGAGTGCTAAAAAAGTTCAACATGCCAAATTGGCCAGATTCTTGGAACTTTCTCAAAAACCCTTCCTTATATGCAGGCCACCTGAGTTTGTTTTTCCACAGCTAGGCTGGCTATACACCAAACCTGGCATTGACGTTGTGGTGACATCACCACCACTGAGTGGGATGTGAGTTGTTTGGCTAGAGTTTTGCTGAAGTAACCAGCGCCAGAAAAAAAAACCCCAAAAGAGGGCATTACCTCTCCTGTAGCTCGGCTGAACGCCGTCTGTAGTAGGCCAGGGCAACAGGCTGTCCTGCTCGGGCCCTCACAGTGGACTGCAGAGAGTGAGCCTCTTGATGCCCGGCACGCAGAACCTCGAAGAGAGCCTCGTACTCGGACATGGTGGCCATCAGCACCTCCCTGTAATCGCTGGTCCTCTCCAGCACCTACCAGTAGCAACAACCATCATATTGGCGGCGGTGATGACCATGATTAATTAAATATTTTATCACAGAAATTATGATCACATTGCTTCGTGTAAATCATGAATCACGATGATCGTAATGAGGAATCGGTAGCTTGTTGAATGTGAGGGGCACTAAATGTAGTGCAGTAACCCCTTGCTATTCACGAGTTCTGCATTCTCGAATTTCGTGTATTCACGTGTTACTAAATGCATACTAATCCCCTATATTACAACTCCGACCCGCTGGACTATTCGCGAATGTCCATAGTAGCAGACCATCGACAACCGGGGAAGGTGTGCACAGAATGTTTTATTTGAAACTGTCTCCGAATATTAGGCACAATACCTCGGCTGCCCGCTTTTTCCTCAGTCTCGCAGTAATATAGTGTACCACGAATAGGTACTACCATTGCAGCTACTCTGAACTCTCAATTGTGCATTTTTAGTTTATACATACTGCAATTGCCGTTAGTGCACTTTTCTCTCTCATTGTATTTCCCGAGGAGTTATCCTCCTGAATTCCTAATCATCACCACCACCACCTCCATCGTGGTCAAATCACCATCATCAAAGGTAGTTAAAATTAAATAAATTAAATAAACCAAGTTTTCTAATGCACACACTTTTATTTGCACTCAAAAGTAGAAAATACACTATTTTGACCCTAGAATGAATGCAATTTCATGTGCTTCATAAACGTGGGTGGCTTGCATAAAGAAAATTAAACATATCGAAAGAAAACCACCCACTTTTATTCAGCACATAAAATTGTATTAATTCTGGAGTAAAAAATATTTATTTTCTACTTATGAGTGCAAATAAAAGTGTGTGCATTGAAAAACTAAGTTTTTTTACCTAATTTATTGGATACATTTTAGTCTTAGTATTTGCTTTCAATTCTTTGAGGATTTATATCTCCCGAAAATCTGAAATAAAATATATTAAATAACGAGGTAAAATGTGTAACGTTTTTATTGTTATAAAATATTAATGACTGTTCTGTAAATTTGAAATTTCCTTATTAAAACAGTTACAATTATTTTGAAAGAATAACTATATTTATATGTATACGATAGGGCACTTCTCTCAGTTGATTAATCTCATCCAGTACCTTCTTGCTGCACACATTGCTTCCTGTATGCTTGGTGCATTCCAATTCTTCCAGTTTCAATCCATCTAGTGATCGCACTCTGCTCAATGCAACAAACGCCTGACCAGCAGCAAACACCTTGGAACCTACATTGACAACGGCATAGTTTACGGTGGATCCCTGCATTTTGTGCACCGTTGAAGCCCAACAAAGGATGAGTGGTACATGCGTCTTTCTGCAGTTCCAAATGAATATTTGGCAGGGAACTGGACAGACATCGGCTCAATCTGGTGAACTCCAATCTCTCCAAAATATACCTTTACCGATGGAATGTCCTCTGCATACAATTAAGCTCCACGGAAAATAGGCCTGATGATTTCAGGAATCTGTCCCATCACTCGATTGACTCGTCATTTTCCAAAATCGATATTGTAACGAAGCATCACCTTTAGCACCTGGAAACAGGGTCTTCGGTTTTGTTGACATCCGATGGAATACATTTTTCCAGATCAACATTGTCTGTGCTTCGTGATGAGTCAACAATACGATCCTGGGCTTTGATCACATACATTTTATATTTTGATTGCGATAATACTGATTGATTGTGATAAAGCGTTGTTATAACGATTATTTCAATATTAAACTTGGTTGGCAACATACACATTTTTTCAAAATGTTTAATATTTTAAATTGGCAATTTAGCTGGGGAGAGTGGAGATAGTTGAAAAAAATGTAATACTGTATAACATTTCATTTTACGTTATAGTCTCATTGTCATTTACTGAAATAAGATTTGAATAAAAATTCTGGTCATTTTCATACAGTAAGCTTATGTAATGTGGAAGTTCAGCAAAGAAATTAAAAATAGCATTCGTATCTCTGTTTATCCATATCCAAATTTTCATCAGATTTAACAGAAATTGGTTGAATGCTTTGAATTCCAATATTTCTAAAATAAATTGCATCTAAATTATTTGACCCCAGAATGAATCAAATGTAATTTGTAAAACACTTTAAGTTAATCTTTTAAATGTAATGTTCATTTCTATTTTAAGTGTTTTTACAAAATTGTATTTCTATCTTGTCAAATAATTTGTAATTGTACATATTAATTCTAAGATCTCAATCCAGACAATAACAATCGCTCATCATTGTCTGGATAATTTTAATATATTTTAAATTGTGCAATACAAAATTAAGTAAAAAACACAAGAGGCACAGGATCGGCAGGACCTGGACCGGTTCATTAAATGAAATCTTAAAATTGGCACGCGAGACGACGAGTCTGTGTAAACAATTTCAGATCGTTAGGCTTCATAGATCCGAAGATATTAAGCGTCAACGATTTGAAAGAATATAAACAGACAACAGGGCCAGTTCAATAAAAGTGTGTAATAATAGAAAATAACATTGTTCCTTATAATGTATTTATTGTAGGCATTATTATTAATAATAATAATGCCTACAACAACATTCTCCCCCTGTTCACTCGTACCAGAAACGTAACCCATTTTCCCGTTGAGCAAGGTTTTTCTGCATAATTTGTACATCAGTGAAAAGGCAATCTTTTGCCAATTTTGGCCTTTGGTAGAAACATCTCTAAAGGAGAGATGGTTGCGTGACAAACTTTGCTAATTGGCTGTGTCGGGTGGTGCCGGGTTGAACGACATTTATATTTACGTGATCTAACCCAAAATACCTTAATTATGGATAACTAAAGGATTTGACCGTGTGTAGTGGGTGGACTGTTGGACACTCCGAAGTGTCCCATGATCCTACTACCACAAGCCCTCTAATATCTCAAGTGGCCCATGACCCTACTACCATAGGCCCTCTAACGTCCCAAGTGACCCATGACCCTACTACCACAGGCCCTCTAACGTCCCAAGTGGCCCATGACCCTACTACCATAGGCCCCCTAACGTCCCATGTAACCCATGACCCTACTACCACAGGAACGTCTCAAGTGACCCATGACCACACTGCCACAGACCCTCTAACGTACCTTGCTCAGGGCCCCTGCGTACACGGCCAGACGCCCAGGACCCGGCACGGCCCCAGTCTTGCCCAGCGCCTGCAGTTCGGCCGATATCTCCTCGCGCAGCCTCCGCACGAACGCGCTGTCCCACTCCAACTCCGTAACCTCAGACATGATGACGCCGCCTCTGCTCTGCGTCAACTGGATGCACTGCAGGAGGTTGTGCGTGATGCGGGGCCAAAATACTCGAGGTTTGAGACGAGGGTCCTGGACAGCAGCAGCAACCAGGGTTATAAAGAACCGGAATGCAGGAGTCGCAGAAAGTCCATGATGAAGAGATGCTTGATCAATGGCAATCTTGGATGATGAATGTTGCAGGATCTCTGAGAGGTCTTGTGATAGAAATGGTTTGAGAAAGGTATATCGGTAATCCGGAGTAATGGAGATACAAGGTGGCACGGCTTGACGAGACACACGATGATGTGAATGGCGAAGGTTGTGGGTAGGAGAGGATTGAGGAGGATCTGTAAGAGGTCCAGAATAATTCAAGTTCTGGATGGTCCTGGAAGACGGAAGTCAGATGCTAATTAATGGACATTTGAGATGGACCTTAGTAGATATTTCGGGTGGTAATCAAGAAGTCCAAGAGGTTTTGACGACCTGCTGGACGTCCTGGAGCTTGCTACATTAGGTCCTGGATGACGGAGGATGTATTTGTAGCCATGTGAAGTCCTGGGAGATAGGCGCGAAATGATTTTCTTTCAAAGGTGCACTACCTATGAAGAACATCCAAAAGTCTTTATTTATCGCTGAGAGATAGGAGCGGGAGAGAAATCCCTGACTCGTCGCCAACGTCGTCGCCTAGGGAACAGCGAGCTACATCCGGCAACACAGCGCGCGTTGACGTCATGTCACAAGCAATGACGCCATGTCGCGCGGATGACGTCATGTGGCGCGATGACGGCATGTTGCGCGTGATGACGTCATGTCACGTATTTATCATGGGACCTTATTTTTTGCCAGAAGCAAGATTTTCAAACACCAAATAGATAACTTTTTGCATAGAATTGCGTCCGCATTAACCACACGTACTGGTTGTGGTGAAGAGGCAAATAAACATGCTCTGACAACATATACGTTTTTTTTTTAAACCGATTGGCTATCACCAGAAGCAAGCGGCCTTCTTTTATGGCCGAGTCTCAGTAACTGTTCGCCAAGAGGCGTCTTTCACGATGCCCATCCGGGCGATTCTAAAAACTTGCGCGATGACGCCACCACGACGCCACCGAGAAATCCTTGCGTCAGCGAGGTGACGTGTTCGCGGCCCGCATCGTGACGTCATCGCGGCCGGCGTCGCGTCGTCACCAAGACCGGCGTCGTGACGTCATCGGCAAAGTTAGGTCACCTCGCGTCGCGAGTTGCGGTTTTGTTTTCCTCTCCCCGTTCGGCGTTACCCGGACGGCGCCGTTGTTTGGTTGCGCGAGATTCGAGACGGACTCAGCAGGGGCGCGATTCGTAAGAAAAACCACCGAAGCGATTGGAATCGACGGTGTCGAGCGACGGCGTTCTGGGAGGCGATGCCGCGCGACCAGTCGCGAGTGCGGTGGGGGGAGCTCGCTCGCCTTCGCATTTCCCTTGGAATTTTGTTGCAAAATAATTTTAAGAACTAAAAAAAACCTCGCGGCTTTGTGGGTGTGGCTTCAGCCCGGCGGCGTGACCCCACCGCCAACGCCAATTCATGGTCTGGTCGATTACGCAAACAGCACAGAATTGTTGCTGTTATTGAGACGGGGGTGGGTGGCAGCTATGGTCTGATTATTGTCCATTGGAAGTGGTGCACATGTGGTACATGCAACAAACACTCAACAACACTCATAACAAGGCTAAAAGGAATGTACGCGGTGATATAATATTCGATGTTTCGGGTGATGGCTCTTCAAGAGCTCGCTGAATATTGCACATGAACGAAATCACCCAAAATGTTCTCCATCTCGTCAGGCGTCGAAAACTCAGCAGGCCTGAAGCGTGGGTGGGCGACTGCCGTGTACACACAGGTGTTAGACGCTTCTGCGGGCTAATGCAGTGCGGGGAAAACAAAACTGGCCTTGTATTTTACAGTACAATGTTCCTGGGACTTTGCTCCCCACCACCTACCAGCGTAGTGAAGTATGGTAAATCGCCAACACCATCATTGGCGTGAGGAGGCCCGCATGCAACTGTGGATTGACAAATCGGGCGGCAACGTGTTCACTTGGGGTAGATAAAAATACCAGTGGACAGTCAAATTGGTGGTTCTATGAATCAACTTGTAAAGGTCGTAATGTGGAGTTACCGGCACTGGCTCAGTGCTAGATGGTGCCGGGGTGGAGAGATGTTAACTACCTCGCCTGGTATGCAGGAGTTCGTGGGTTCAAGCCTGACCCTGACGCCTGCTGTATATTTGAAGTTTACGTTGTCTCCTCGTGGTCGCGTGGATTTTTCTCCGGGTCCTCCAGGTTTTCCCTCCACATTTAGAATCGTGTGCTTCGAGTATTTGGCTTTATAAATTCCACATGATAAGCCACTTTATTGGGCTGCCAATTGTGGCCAGGTCGCTTCTGAAAAAGGACTACGTAGCTCAGTGGGCCTTACTTGCAATTGATGTTTATCGTCGTCACTTATCCAGCCGCAATTCATAAATACTATTTTAGTAATAATGAGTAACATAGCAACATGGAATTGCCACCACGAGCTCAAGGCCAGCAATGGAGATGAGGACCAGTCACTATGAAGTATGATGATTATTAGGATGAGACGATTTCTGACCAGACGGGGCGCTCATCCCCTCGGTCCTGCGGAGGGCTTGGGGGGCCTTTAGGCTTAAATTATAACCTATGAAGCCTACCCTAACGTACTGATATGCAATAGTACAATGCAAACTATTTAAAGTAATACATTAATAGACAATATTCAGGATTTTTTATCTACTTAAAAAACGTAATAATTTTACAAAATCTTTTGATCGACCATTATCCATGTAGTTTTCATCTTTGTCTGGATACAAAGCCTTCTCAGCTAGAATTTTCATGGCTTTGCTGAATCCAATGCGCGAGTTTGCCAGATGTAATATTGGCCGTGACTAAACGTGCCAGAAGGGAGCAATATTCCAATTGTCTCCGTTCGGTGTTTGTCCTTGGCTCTTGTTGGCGGTGACTCCAAAAGCAGGACTTACGTTCCCAAACACAGGCTAGAAACCCAATTTTTCACAACAAAAAGGCTGGAAGTATGAGATGTAGTCGATTATGTATGAAGTATTAGGCATTCTTAATGCTATAATATTCTTAGAAAACAGTCCCCTAATGCTGTAAATTCATAGGACAAGAATGTTACACGTACAGTACTGAACATATTTTTAAAATAAAAGCAATTTGTACAAATTGTTTCAATTATTTTTTCTTGCCTTGTCTTCTTCTTGTGATAAGTGACTTGACCTTTTGAAAGAAAAACCTCATTGATTTTTAACTTTGTTTCACAGTAGAACATCTATGTTCAAATCTGTCGAGTCACGTCGGAAGATGCGGCGGTAAATGAAGTCTCTGCATCGTAAACCGATCCATGGTGGCATTAAATAAAAAACACTTTTTTTATTTCTCCAGGTGAGGCCCACTGAGCTACATAGCTCTTTTTCAGAAGCGACCTGGCCACAAATGATAGCTCAACGAAGTGGCTTATCACGTGGACATTTATAGCAGACAAATGTGGAGGGAAAAACTGGAGGATCTACGCGACCATGGGGAGAAGGTGCAAACTCCAAATATACAGGCGTCAGGGGCGGGATCGAACCCACGACTTCCTGATAACAAGTTGATGGAGTTAACATCTCACCACCGCAGCGCCCATTATATAAACGTCGTAAATGTGGGTCGTAAGTTAGCCGTCGTAAATTAGAGACTACCTGTAATTCATATTCTTGGTTCTTTTGGTAAAGTCACGTAGATAGAAAATAAAAATAAATGAAAAATAAAAGCAAAACACGTTTCGATCGTAACACAAGCGGTCTTCATCTTTTCTCACCTCTTCCTCCTCACCCCTAACCTCGTTCTTCTTACCCCTCACCCTATCCTCCTCACTCCTCACCTCGTCCTTCTCACCCGCTCCTGATACGGCCACGCACACGCCCATGGCAACCTCACTCGGGCATGACACACCGACTTAGCATTACCCTCATACCTCCACGTTTATCGGCCTCGTTCTATCGTGACGGCCGAGATGCTGGACGGCTGTGAAAAAGAGCTTCGTAGCTCATCGGATTCCTCCAGTCTACAAAGAAATATTCCGGTTCTGATTGCTTTACGGCGCCAGTGGCGTTCATAACTCGACTCCCAATGGCACGGCTACGGCGCCCTCGAACGCTGTGTGTCATCAACATTGTTGTGTGTGATTACACTCAACACAACAACGTTGTTGTATGTGATTACACTCAACACGCACAATGTTGTGTGTGATTACACTCAGCACAATTGTGTGATTACTCAACACGCACAATGTTGTGTGTGATTACACTCAACACAACGTTGTGTGTGATTACACTCAACACAGAATTGGGTGTGATTATGCTCAATACAACGTTGTTGTTTGTGATTACACTCAACACAACGTTGTTGTGTGTCATCAACATTGTGTGTGATTAAGCGTTGTGTTTAACAATGTGTGTAATCATTCACATGTTGAGTGATTACACACTCAGCGTGTGTGTCTGTAGCAGTAGTACGTTCGCCGCTTATCATAGAGGTTCGCAGTTTGAATCCAGCGGCCGCCCTGTTTAATGCTACAGGCTTGTTCACCGCAAAGGCACCACGTGCCGTCTACTTCAGAGCGGACGTTGAAGATCCCAGCGTCATGGACCATATTTACTGAATTAAATACAATTGCCTGCAAATTACCCAGTTGGAATGTACTGTGCAAAGTAATTATTGCTGGGAAATGTAGTAGGACCCTCCTGAAAAGAGCTATGAGACTCAGTGGGGCTATCTTGGGTAAAACTGACCACCCACCCCCTCGTGTGCCATGCTGGCCTGAATAGATGCTCGCTAACAGCACTTACTTGTCGAACAGACTGTTAAACGCCATGTGTGAAGGGACTGTCTTCGTTTGAGTCCGTGACTGTAACCTGGTACATAATAAGGGTGCCGCGTTGGTGGGATGGTAACTCCTTCACTTGGTATGCAAGAGGTCGTGGGTTCGATCCGGACCCTGACGCCTGTATATTTGGAGTTTTCATGTCTCTCTCCCCGTGGTCGCGTGGATTGTTCTCCAGGTCTTCCGGGTTTTCTCTCCATACTTAGCAACATGCGTTTAGAGTATTTTACGGCTACCAATTTCCACAAGATAAGCCACTCCATTGAACTAACATTTGTGACCAGAGCGTGAATCGAGTTCGGGTCACCGAATTCATCGTAGCGCAGCATGCTAAACCCACACGCCCACAGACAGGACTCCAACTCATCCACCTCTCGCACCTGTGCCAGGAACTTCCAATTGTGGAGTGACGCTCGAATGAAGCGACCCGACCTCCCGTTGGGAGACGGTGGCTAGCAGGCGGTTGAAGCTACCCTGCAGGAAGAAAGCGCAAGTAACCCACCTGAGCGTCACGAGGCGTGCCCTGCAGGTGGTATCACATGGGATGATGCATGTGCGTCCATGCCATGGCCCTTTCACGAATCTCTACTGTATGGGGACCTCCCCACTGCCACGTCCTCGTGGATCATTGCGGTGTATTTGATCATACGTCACCACGCTGGTTGGTGCGGGTTGTTTACTGGCATGGGGAGCGGGGAACAGTGCAAGGGTTCATATTTCTGGACTGCCCCTTTTCTGACCACGTGACCCTTGCCAGATTAATTCTGAGAATGCGCAATCGCCGAGCCGGTGACAGCGCCCCCAGTTTTGCCACATGTAGCTCTTGTAGACGATGACAACAAACACGCACCCTGCTCTACGGAGCCTGACAGTGGTCATTATGGTGGTGATGGTTCGCGTGGTACCTTCCCATCAGAATGAAAAACTAAACAATTTTTTTTTATTTTACCTGGTAAAGGTCACTGAGCTATATACGTGTTTCTCAGAAGCGACCTGGCTATCGCAAATGATAGCTCAACGAAGTGGCTTATCACGTGGAAATGTATTGCAGCCTCGATATCACAGCTGAATACAAACCCTCTGAGCGTAACCACGAACCCGGGCAGCAGGGGGGCAGTTGGCAGATGGTAAGGGGACAAGGAGCAAGGGGGAGGATGGAGAAGGGTAGCGGGGAGTGGAGCAGTGGTGCGGCACGTTCGAGTGATGCAAATATTAACTGATTTTTATTGAATACAACTTGAACAATTTACACCGGTGCGTTCATCGATATGATGTTTATTATAATGTTTAACTATAATTATGTTGAGATTAGGATGTGCAGG